TGTGGTTTTAATTTAGCTTGGGCTCTGGTGGTTACTGGCTCTGCCAGTTGTGGTTCCGCCATAAGTGGTTTAGAATCGGTGGCTTGCATGCTGTTATATTGGGGCATGCGAGACAGTGCATCTGCCAAGAGGTTGTTTCCTCCCGGCAAGTGCTTGAGCGCAAAGTGGAATTGGTGAAAATGCTGGGACCAGCAGTCTTGCTTAGGGTTGAGCTTCCTGGGTGTTTTCAAGGCTTCCAGGTTTTTGTGGTCTGTCCACACCTGAAAATGGATTTTATTCCCTTCAAGGAACTGGCGCCACATAAGTAATGACCACCATATTCCGTTGATGATGCATTTAACTGGAAAAGGTCCTATAAATTTGGGCCCCAGTTTCTTTGAAGGTTGCAATGATTGTAAATATTTTATGGAAAGGAACACCCGGTCCCCAACTTTATATGGTTTCTGCTCCACCCTCTGTTTGTCAGCTTGAGCTTTATAGGTCTCCCTGGCTTCATCCAATGTTTTTCTGACCACCAGCCAGGTGTTTTGCAATTGTTAAATCCACTTTTGCAAGGAGGGGATGTCAGGCATGGCACAAATGTTTGACCATTTGCTACTTGAAACCAGTACTGCAGTGCACAGCATTAGTATAGGCCACCTCAGCAAACGGTAGCAGGTCGGACCAATTGTCTTTGTAAATAAAACATCTCAGGTATTGTTCTAGAACTGAGTTAAGTCTCTCTGTCCACCCCGTTCATTTGAGGATGACTAGAACCCATCAAGTCCAGAAAAGCCTTCCAGAACTTAGAAATGAATTGGACCCCTTGGTCTGAAATTATATGTTGTGGGGTCCCATGAAAACGATATACATTTTGCACAAAGAGTTTAGCCAAAGTTTTTGTAGAAGGAATCAGAGCATGGGATGAAATGAACCTGTTTGGGGAACAAGTCCTTTATGACCCAAATGACAGTGTTTCCACCACTTTCAGGCAGTTCCACAATGAAATCCATAGAGATCTCTCTCCAGGGTGCTGAAAGACTTGCTACCAGCTGCAGCAGTCCACAGGATTTTCCTTGTCGCCTTTTTGCTGCTGTGCATATGGGGCAACTAGCAACATAGCTTTCTATGTCCTTTTTCAGTGCAGGCCACCAAAATTGTCTCTTAAGATGCAAGGTTTTTACAAATCCAAAGTGACTATCAGTTTTTGAATCATGTCCTACTTGCATCACTTTAAGTCTCAAGGCTACTGGGACATAAAGTTTCTCTCCAACCCATGCTAAACCGTCTTTTAACACACACAGGTTATTATGGTTATGAAACCATTTATCTGTTTCTAAGGCAGTCTTAAATTCCTGTAATAAAGTCTTTCCAACAGCACCCACTGGTTTTGATTGAGCCCTGGTGGTCACAGGGCCCACTAGTTGATGAAGTAGAAATGGTTTGGCCACTTCTGCTTTCTTATTGTTATATTATGGTAACGTGAAAAATGCATCAGCTAGAAAGTTCTTTCTACCAGGGACATAACGAATAGTAAAATTAAAATGATAGAAATATTGGGACCACATTACTTGTTTAGGGGAGAGTTTTCTGGGTGTTTTCATGGCTTCAAGGTTTTTATGATCAATCCACACTTGGAACGGTATTTTATTTCCTTTGAGGAAATGTCTCTTAAGTTAGTAATGCCCACCGTACAGTGTAGGCCTCTTTCTCCCAAGCAGCCCGCCTCTGTTCAGTCTCTGATAATTTCCTCAAGGTGTAAGCACAAGGTTATAATTGTCCCTCTTTATTTCTTTGGAGCAACACTGCTCCCACAGCCACATCGCTGGCATCAGCCTGAATTTATCCAGGGTTGTTCTGGATCCAGATGTTTCAAAACCGGCTCCATAGAGTATTTTCTTTTCAAAAGCCTCTTGACATTCTCCCATCCATTTTAATGGTTGAATGGACTCTGGCTTATCTCCCTCTCTGGTCTTTAACAGGTTTGTAATTGGGAGGGCAATCTGTGCAAAAGATGGGATGAATTGTCTGTAGAAATTTGCAAATCCTAGGAAACTTTGGAGTTGTTTCCTGGTTTTGGGGGGAGCCCAGTCCAAGACTGCCCTCACTTTCTCTGGGTTCATCTCTATTCCTTCATTTGTTATGTGATAACCCAAGTAATCAATATGATCTTCGTGAAATTCACATTTTGATAATTTGGCAGAGCACAGTTTATTCAGTACTGCTCTGACTAGCTTAATAGGACCTTCTTATACAAGTGCTCACATAGGACTTCATTGATCAGCTGCATGAATACTGCAGGGGCCTCCTATAACCCAAGTGGGAGAACTTTAAATTGGAAGCGACCTAATGGGCAATTGAAGGCAGTTTTCCACTCATCTCCTTTATTCTTATGCAATAATAAGCTTCCCTCAAGTCCAGCTTTGAAAAAATCTTTCCTTTTGACAGGTGCGCTAACATGTCTTTCATTAAAGGTAATGGATATATGTTTTCCACACCCACAGCATTCAAACTTCTATAATCAATGTAGAGACAAAGAGAGCTATCCTTCTTTTCTCTGAATAACACAGGGGCTGCTACCAGGGGTGTAGCTGGCTCGATAAACCCCCACTCTAAGTTCTTTTTGATAATTGTTTCCAGTTCATTCAACTCCCTAGGAGTCATTGAGTATATTTTTGGTTTTGGCAATTTCGCCCCTGCGATGATTTCAATTGCACAGTCTGTAGGCCAGTGAGGGGGGAGTTTGTCTGCTCTTTGTTCACTGAGCGCTTCAGCCAAATCTCGGTATTCCATTGGGAGGCTTCGCAGGTCTGACTCACTGAGGGCAGAGGCAAAATTGCAACGTAATCCACATCTCCTGCTGTTTTCTTTAGTGATGGGCAGGGCTTCCCCCTGCGGGAATCCCAGTTGCCTTCCCTCCAGTTGATCATGGGGTTCCACTTCTTTAGCCAAGCCAGTCCCAAAACTAATGGTCACTCCATTCCTGGGGCCACAATAAATGTTAAAGTCTCTGTGTGGCCACTCAGATCGATGTATAATCTGGTGGCAAAACTGGCAGGCACCCCCCCCTGCAACCAAACCATCCAGTTGGCAAGAAGTAATTGGAGTCTTAAGTCTCCTGAGGGGAATCCCCATTTTCCCCACTAGATCTGGGCTAATCATGCACCAGGTACACCCCAAGTGTCATTGTCCTCCCAGTGCTGGGTATGGAAAGTTATGGGGTCAACTGGCCCACTCACTAATGGGTCATTCTCATAGTCATCTTCTGCCACTCCTGGATCATCATAGTGTGGAGTCGGAGCTCGACCCTCTTGATTGCGATCCCAGGGGAGCTCTATGACTTCCTTGGATCTCATTGCAATCTCCCTTGGGCACGATTGGGTCCTTGGGGGGGGGTTTCCTGGCCGGCAGATGATCCCCTCTCTTGGCAGGTATCTTACTATGGCAGTTCATGGCTTGGTCTCCCTCCTTGCCACATTTGAAATAGGCAGTGCTGCAAGGCACGGCAGGCGAAGCTTATGCAGTCTCTCCTCCATTCTCTGCCTTCGGCTTGAAGCTTGGTCTCACTGGGCGATGTAGGTGCTTGCATTGATCAATCACTTCCTCAGCTAGCAGGCACCAGTTGTATAGCCGTCCTGGGGCTCTATAGGCTACGCAGGCATTGTACAGCTCTTTGTTGAGTCCATCCTGGAAACAGCTTACCAGGATGTCCTCTGGGCAGCGTAGACGACTAGCCAATTGTCTGAATTCCTTGGTATACTCTGCAACTGGTCTTTTTCCTTGCTTCACTGTCTTTATCTGCTTTTGAGCTTTCTTATCGGCCAGCCAGTCTTCGAAATGCCTGTGGAGGGCAGCCATAAAATGATTGAAATTTCTCAATTTGGGTGCGTTGTAGTTTTACAGGTCACCATCCAGTCATCTGCTCCACCTTCCAGAGCCAGGATGACCACCTGAACTTTGTCAACGTTAGTAGGCAGTGTTCTCCCATAGATTTGCATGTAGGTGAACACATGTCAGGAAATACCCCAATTACTTCGGGTCTCCATCAAATTTCACTCTGATCAGGATCGGTTTCACCTTGGCTGGCTGAGGCGGTCTACCTCTGGCTCCTTGAGATGGACTGCCCCGCCACTTTGCTGCCTCCTGGGCTCTGGGTGATGCCATCTCTCAGACCTCCAATTCTTCCTCCTCCGATTCCCCACCGACTCTTCTTCCAACTCATGGCTTCAGCTGCATCTTAAATTCATCCAGGGTTTTTTCCACATAATCACAGCTTCCATTGCCCCTGATTTCAGTTCCTCCTTTTCTCTGTCTTTGCCAGGAGGAGCAGGCTCTGAATTCTTTTTCTTTGCCTTCTTTTTTTCTTCCACCTAGGGTCAGGGTAACTTTGGGGGCTTTTTCTTCCCATCCTTCCTTCTTACTGAGTGACCATCTGGCTCGATCTTCTTCACCAGAGGTCCGGCCTCCTCCAGGTTCCTAGATAGGCTTTCATTGGCTTTCAAGCAGAGGATATCTTTGGACCATTTCTCTGCTTGGACCTCCTCCATGTAGAAATTGTTTGTGACTCCCCCGGTAGGGTAGCAGCTTCTCTGGGTTGAGTACTATGCAAATCTTGCCTTATGTAAGGACCCACTTCAACTAACCACCAAAGAAAGCAGAACTCTTGAAACAGGCATTGTCTCAAAAGGATACTTTTATTAGGGTCAGTGACAGTAGGGAAGTCAAGGCAAGATCTGGGGAAAAAACAAAGCAAACGGTATAGTTAAGCTAGTAATATTCCTCCTCCCACCAAAGTCATAATGTCCATTTGAAATCCAGCCAATCCTCTGGTGGCACGAAGTCTAGCTGGCAGGTACAGTTGGCATGCATCTCAAGGTCTTTTCCAGCTTTCATTTCTCTGTAACTGTCTCCCTGACATTCCTTTCTCAAGGGGATGGAGGCAGGAGAGTGAAAGTAGAAAGCGAAAGTTATCCCAAGCAATAGCATGCTCCCCCTCCCCCCAGCAGAATGGCAGGCCCCCAAAATAGAATAACTATGCAAGAGAAACGAGGGTTTGGGGACCTGCATCCTCCATGCTGCATCTTGTCATATTTTTCAAACCTAATTCTCTTTATAATGATCATTATGTATAATGCACCTATTCCCAACCCTTTTGTATCTCCCCCAGTCCATGCTGGAAAGCTAATACACAAAACCATTGGATATCACTTACGTATGGTAAATTTTGGGTCTAGAGAAGAAAGGCTTGCTTGGAAATGATGTCTGCTCCCTCTCTTAGCATTTCAGAAAAATTGAACTGCATAACATTAAGGAGACAGCTGAGAAGTAACTTAACAGAATACATAAGATTTAACATGAAGTCTTACTTGTTAAGAAGTTTACAGAGGGTTGCCCTTGATTCTAAGAAAATCTTGTCCAGTATTATAAAAACAGAAGTGATACCACTGATAAGATTACAAAACAATACCAGATTTTGTAACTCCGTATATGGAAAGGGACAATTCACTGTGACCCATTCACCACTGCCAGCTCAAAGCCACCAGCTCACCACTGCCAACTCGCTGCTTCCAAGTCACTGCAAGAGAACTTCACACAGCAAACTCATTGCAAGAAGCTGAAGGGATAGCCAGGTGGGCAGATGAGTGAGCTAGTGGGCAGAGCTGAGTGTGTTGGTATAGGCGGTGAAGAGAAGGTGGCAGCCGGGGGCTTCCCATTTTTACACTCCCCACCACTGCCTCACTGGGGTTGAAGCCTCTGCTGCCATGGCAGGCTCGGAACCGCTGCCACTGCCATTGCTCCAAGCCCAGTATGGTGGCAGCAGCAGCAGCAGTTCCGAGTGGCAGGTCCGAGCCCAATGTGGCAGCAGCAGGGAATGTGAAAATGGGAAGACTCAGCTGCTGCCACCTCCTGGCCACCCGCCCTGACTGCCACTGCTATCCCCAGCATCTTCCACTTAGAGCCTACCGCAGCGGCAGTGGCAGCAAGGGATTTGAAAATGCAAAACCCCCAGCCGCTGTGCTATGTGCTCTGCCCACCTGCTTGCTCATCCACCTGCCCAACTCTTCCTCCAGCCATCTGTAGTGAGTTGTCCCTGTGGCAAGTTGTCCATGTGGAGTTGTACTGTGGCAACTTGGTGGGAGTGAATTGGCAGAGGTGAGCTGGTGGTGGCAAGCTGGCCATGGCAAGCTTACTGCAGCAAGTTGTTCTTTTACTAGTCAAAGATAATTTGATAAGGAAATAGTAATAAGTAATTAGATTACTCTGGTTTATCAAATAAATGAGATAGAAAGAATTACTACTTATAGAATCATAGGGCTGGAAGAAATCTTGGAGGTCTTCTAGTCCAGGGCTTTTCAACCTTTTCACCCATTGTACCACTTTTAGGATATGGCAACATCCGAGTACCACCAGTCACCTAGCAAGGTGTCAAAAACTTGATAAAGTACAGGTAGTCCTCGACTTACAACAGTTCGCTTAGTGACTGTTCGAAGTTACAACGGCACTGAAAAAAAGTGCCCCCCAAGCCACAGCCGAGCAAGACACCTGCCTGCCCGCCCGGTGCCGCTCTTCCTCCTGTCCGAGGTTTTCATTGTTGTGAGCATTTCTGTTGAGTATTGGCAACGGGGATGGGGTGGGGGGGCGTTTGGTTTTTATTTCCCCCATCTGCTGGGTGGTTGCAGCAGGTTTTGGTCACTTCGCATGACCCTGCGACACTGTGACCGTCATAAATATGAATCGGTTGCCAAGCATCTGAATGTAAATCACAAGACCCTGGAGATGCTGCAACATTCCAGCTGATCTGTGCTTCTTCTGGGCTCAGCAGAAGCTCCAGGATCAGTGCTGCTTTCCGATCCTGGCGCTTCCACTGAGCCCTGACAGCCCTGCAGCTCCAGCCATCTCTCGCTCAGGCTTGTGCGGTGCTGCCACCGGTTCAGCTCATTCCCCTCCCCCATTACTTTTGTAGGATGGTCGCGTACCACCTGCCAGGTGCCAATGTACCACAGGTGGTACCCGTACCACTGGTTGAAAAGCCCTGTTCTAGTCCAACCCCCTGCCCAAGGCAGGAGACTTTATACTATTCTGGACAAATCTTTTATTGAAAACCTTCAGCAATGGTTACAGTTTCTCTTACATGCCAAACCAGATTATATCCCTCCAGATCTTAAGTTCTATACCTTTGTTTAGAACACTGTAGACTTGGCCTTCACTTATATTATTTTCACTAAAGGCATCAACATCAGAGCAGACCTCTGGGCCATCAGAGAGGAAGGAGATGTTGCTATGAGAGCAGGGTGACTCAGAGATAATATGGCTACTGGAAGGGGTCACTGAGCGCCCTTGCAGTTTTGCTTGGAGAATCTTGATGGATTGTTCTTTCTGGAGCTCCTTGTTTATCCTGAGGAAAGGCAAACCTTGAAGATTACCAAAGATATTGATACAGCCTTCTTTTTCAGTTTCAGTTTCAGTTTCAGAATATGTACTCCCCCCCCCTCTGATTCTGTGATTTTTGCACTCTGATCAGCCAGTAAACTCTCACAGTCTGTAAGTGAGCTAAATAATCCCATGAAGAATATTAGGGTTCATTGCACAGTCAGCAAGATATTCAGACTGGTTTTGGCATTTTTGTCCACCTATCAAATTCTTCCCAAGGACGTGGGATAGGAAAATGTGGATATTTGATGGTGTATGTAGGATTATTATTACTGTTATTATTGTTTTTATTATTATTATTATTATTATTATTATTATTATTATTATTATTGTTGTTGTTGTTGTTGTTGTTGTTGTTGTTGTTTTTGCTATAAAGGATTTTATACTGGTATGGAATAGATTACAGCATGAGGAATTCAATAAATTGAGGTGCCCTGTATTTAATGAAGAAAGATAACTGTTACTTGATAATTTGGGAGTTTTTCTTGAGGCAAACAACTTGGCCAAAAGGATAATAAATAAATAAATAAATAAATAAATAAATAAATAAATAAAAATAAAAAATTAAATACAAATGAATACTTATCGAGTGGCAAACTATATAGTTTCATGGACTTCGTACAAACTATACAGAAAAATGAATGAAGGTAATTTGGATAATTCCAAAATAAGCCCGCATTTAGCAATCCATAATAATTACCTCATAAGCAATTCATGACTTGTTTTATCCTCCATGTTTAGATCATTCCCTAAAAACAGAATTTTTAAAAAAGTTAGTGATTGTACAGCTTCTCCATCATGGGACCTTACTGATCACTTGGTATGCAACTCAGCCTCCCCATATGCTTCTTTTAGTGCAAAATTAAAAACAGAGAAACATGGAGCTTACAGAATAAAAAAGATTCCATTCCAATGTTTCCAACTAGCTTCCTTGTTAATTTTTAAGCTTCTCATATATTGTGCCCATGATTCTATAGTTTTCTCCATAATCTATGTTGGACATACTACGACCTTATAAAGCCTAATTGTAAGCCTGCTTTGACCTATGGTTCCATTAGCTGCTTTGGACATGCACTTGTTAGGCTTAACCTAATGAAATAATGGGATAAGTAACTCCCAGATTGTTAGGTTATGTTTGTGTTTATGGGATTTCCCACTTCGCTCTATTATTGAGGGATATGTGTGTGTCTGTGTCTGTGTGTCTGTGTGTCTGAGTGTGTATGTGTGTGTGTGTGTGAGAGAGAACATCAGTTTTAATTCCATGTTTCATAGTTGTGAAGTATCATCATCTTCAAATGGTCAGCATCCCTCATTGATTTAGTTAGCATCCTGGGCTGAGGCCAGAAATTCCTACCCTTTTTTATGAAGTTTAAGCAGGCCCTAAACTCTAATGCGAAATAAGTTCCCCATGTATTTTTCAATATCTCTACTGAGGTATCTGTCACTTACATTAAATTTCTTTCTGTAGCATTTTAAAAATGCTATTTTTCAGTAAGTCCCTCTATAAGACAGATGTCACCAAACTAGGATGTGGACAACTTTTCAAGATGTACAAGATGTATATCTTTTTGGAATGGTACTCTTTATGTTATACTGCAGAAGTACTGATGAAAGAAAGCTATGGGAAATCCATTTTGAAAACCTAAAAATAAAGCTAATTTAAACTTTGTGTGCACCTATTGAACTCACCCTGGTTCAGTTTTCTGGCCAATTGGTCTGCCAATTGGTCCCCTTCTGCAAGTTGCTCACGGAAGCTCTGACCCAAGTAGTAGTCAATGTCAGTGCCTCGTAGAAGCTCTTCAAAGGATTTGATGGTGTCTTTGAAGTATTTGTTTAGCATATGAGACACCCCTTGTCCCTCTCGCATCAGCTGGCGCAGATGGGAGAGCTCCCGAGCCTGAGTTTGGACTAATGAGTCATATTTCCTTGGGGAAAAGAGAGCAAACCAAAGTTATTAAGTGATCCAACTTCAGGACAAGTAAGAAACAAGTGAATATTATAAAACATAAGATTAACCTGACATCACAAAAAGAAATGGCACAGAAAATTAGGATGGCGAAACAAAATTACTTTGAAAATGCGAATAAAACTGGTAGATGGTTGGCCTATAAACTAAAAAAAGAAAAAGGCAAAAGAACAATACACCAGCTACAAGATGAAAGTGGATCAGTACAATATAGACGGGAAGAA